AAAAAAAAAAAAAAAAGACAACTTGGAGTTGCCTATCCTACTATTATTTTTAGTTTATCTGGGATGTCAACTTTAAAAGGTGAGTTCATCTGCTGATCTGCAGGACAGACCTGGGCAGCCCAATTGGGAACCCTAACTGATAAATTCAGGGAGCAAGACCGTATAGCTGCCATGATAGGATGTGCAGATTCACAAAACAGAAAGTGGAGAGAAGCTGAAGTCTAGATTGAGGAAGAATCCATTTCTTATCCTTTACTGGAATCTGTACTGAATCCATCCTGTGACAGGACATTGCTTTGTTTTGTTCATTCAAGTGTCCTGTGGATACAACAGTGCCTGCCACACCCCAGATGCTCAGAAACTATTTGTTGCAATTATCCAGTAATCCAGAATTTGGGTTTGGAATTGTGAGGCAGCCACTTTATGGCAAATTTCCACTTCTTTCCTTATATAAATAGGGGTCACTATTTCTGACATGGGTATATTTTTATTGGATCAAGGGAAGGAACTCTGAGTATAGGAGAAAGGTCAAGTGCCCCAATCCCAGGTGAGAAGGAATGCTGAAGATAAATCACGTCTCAGTTCAGCATGACACAGAGGAGCCAGGATCTTTGGGATGGTGGCAACTTTCAAAGGTGACAGACCTATAGATAAATGTAAGTATTGTTCTCCAAGACATCCAAAGGAATCTCACCTTTACCCATCTTACAGTCTTTACTTTTAGAAAATGAAGTTATTTTCTTCCTTTAATCGGGCCTATTCTATGGATCCTATTCCTTCTCTGATCTGTCCCTTTTATACTGATAGACACAAATGTCTATTCCAGATTTTTTTTTTCAACATTTTTTTGGAATATTAATCCTTGAAATTTGTTTGCAGTAGTTCCTTTTCTTCAGTAACAAAGACAATTTTGATTGATTGTTCACTGGGTCATTCATACACCTCTATTCATCTTTCAAATCTACATTATAATTAATTTATATCTCTGTTATGTACTGGGGAATATACAATAATCTACAAACTATCAAGAAATTTATTATCTAGGTAAAGGTAAGGCATGAACGTTTTGAAAAACCAGCACTCATATCCTGTTTTATATAAATAAAATTGAGTTCTTCCCCTCTCCCACTCCAAACAACACACTCCATGAACAAGAAATTACCAGGACACAATCCTTAAACTCTATGTCCCATACATCCTTTGCTGAAGGGTAAAATTACTATATGCATATAATTCATGGTTTTTAAAATTTTGTTCATCACTGTCATCACCTATAGTTCTCAGACAAAAGAAACAGTTCCTGGTAAAGGAACTAGATGATAATTTTTTTCTGAGTGGTGCGTAAACCAACAATAAGACAAATCATTGGGTTAGGATGAGAACTACCTTCTAAGGTAAAAACATGGCTGACTGGTTATTCACGAGTTTTAAACTTCATTCCCCTAGGGTGATATTTATAAAGGTAAACACATCCAAACATGCTATGTTAAGTTATTAAATATATTGTTTCCTTTTGAAGGACTTCAGTAATCTGATATTACAACAGAATAAATTTAGAATCAAAGAAACACAAGATCATGGTTGGAAACAGATAAGACTAATACCAAAAACGGTGTGGAAGAGGTGCATTGTGTTATAAACTTAACCAATGATGTATAATACAGATAACCCTCCTTTTAATTTAAGTCAATGACATATTCACTAGGAGTTTGATTCAAGGTATACTGTCCTAAAATACATATCCTATATATTATCTGCTGCAAAATGATGTTATATTTGTGATACAAATCTCTAAAATATTCATTTTCATGGGGTTTATTTGCTTCATGTGTTCTCATATTTTGCTGGAGATATTCCAGTTAGTGCATTCAGTTTTATTTCTATATGATTTCCTCTGACAACTGATGAGGCACTGACAACTCTGCCACATTCACGGCCTTCACAGGTCTTCCAACAGTTTCTCCATATGAACTCTCTGGACATCTACTGAGCTATTATTTCTGGGCAAGGGCTTTTCCATGGTCATCACATTTCTACCAACTATGAGCTCACTGATGATCTGTCTTCTATGATCACTGACAATGGGGTCTGTCTTCCCATGAATGACTTTCCTAGTCACTACATGCACACTATTTTTCTCTCAGTGTATATTTACGAGCCATATAATGAGTTAGGTTTTTACTCAAGGGTTTTCCAATGTGAATGGATCACAGGTTATTCCTGGGTGTTTTCTGTGGCATAAGATATGATGTAATTGGTCACTGAAAGCACTACCACATTCACTGAATTCATAAGGTTTCTCTTCTGTGCAGATTCTATTATCTGCTGAGGGTGAACATCTAGCAATGGGCTGTCCCACAATGGCTACTTTGCTATCTGCTTGGAACTCACTGTTATCTAATGAAGTCTGAGCTGCCATGGAGGGCATCCGCACAGTCACCATGTTAAAAGTGTTTTTAGCCTGTATGACATCACCTGTATGTGTTGAGCCTTGGCTCTTTGAGAAAGAATTTTCCAATTTGACTGTAGCTACACGTTTCTCTCTTGCGTGCAACATTCCCTTATGGTAAACAAGGCATGACAAGTGAGAGAAAGCTTTCCCACAATCAGAGCAACCATAAGGTCTCTCCCCTGTATGAGTTCTCCGATGTCTATTGAGGCATGACTTATCTCTGAAAGCTTTCCCACAGTCGGTGCATGTATAGGGTTTCTCTCCTGTGTGGATTCTCTGATGGTTAATGAGACCCGACTTGTGTGAGCAGGATTTTCCACACTCAGTGCAGACAAAGGGAGTTTTTCCTGTATGAAGTCTCTGATGGGATATTAAGCACGTCTTCTGGCTGAAGCCTTTTCCACATTCATTGCATACATAGGGTTTCTCTCCAGTATGAGTACGTTGATGTATAAGGAGATTGCCCTTCTGGATGAAGCCTTTTCCACATTCATTGCATATATAAGGTTTCTCACCAGTATGAGTTCGCTGATGTACTATTAGATTGCCCTTCTGAATGAAACCTTTCCCACAATCACTGCATATATATGATTTCTCTCCTGTATGAGTTTTCTGATGTGCATTGAGCTGTGATTTCCACCGGAATGCTTTGTCACATTCAGTGCATTCATAGGGTTTCTCCCCCGTATGAGTTCGCTGATGTTCAATGAGCCTGGACTTTCTAGAGAATGCTTTCTCACACAGACTGCATCTGTGAGGTTTCTCTCCTGTATGAACTCTCTGATGATTAATGAGCCTAGACTTCTTAATGAAGCCTTTTCCACAGTCATTGCACACATAGGGTTTTTCTCCTGTATGAATTTTCTGGTGTGCAATGAACTGTGATTTCCAGCGGAATGCTCTGTCGCATTCAGTACATTCATAACGTTTCTCTCCTATGTGAGTTTTCTGGTGCTCATTGAGCCTGAACTTTCTAGAGAAAGCTTTCCCACATATATTGCATCCATGAGGTTTCTCTCCTGTGTGAACTCTCAGATGATATATAAGGCGAGACTTCTTAAGGAACGTCTTCCCACATTCAGTGCATACATGGGGTTTATCTATCTTTTGAGTTCTCTGATGCTTAGTGAGTTGTGAATTTGTAGTCATAAAATTTCCACAGCCAGGGAATTTCATTTCATTGAATTGTTCATGTTTGGCATGGAGGAAGGACTTCCCATCTCCATTAGCTGTAACAGAATTCTTGATTTCATAGCTTCTATTCTGGTTGACAAAACTTATATTTGATTTCAGTGTTTTCCCATGTTCATCAAATACATCATGATTTTGCCTTAAAGGAAAATTACTTTTCCTTTGATCGTGACATTGTTCCACTCTCTTCAGACATCTTTGGTTTTGTAAGTGCAACTGTAGATGATCATCAGAATTCTTGATTTCTAAGAAAGGAAAAAATAGTAAATCTCTCCATGAGCATGGAACAGAATAAAACTATTTCACAAACAGCTCTGTGTAGAGCTCTGGCTCTCTATTGACCAGTTTTAAAAAACTGGTAGGCATGTTCACTGTCACTTGGACAAGAATAAAACAGTAATTTAAACAAAGGAAACAAAAGGTAAAAGCAGTCAGTGTATAAACAAGGAAATAGCAACTCCATTCCTCCCAGGATTCATGCCAGAAAATTTACAATCATCTTTCGTTTGTATATTTCTGTTACAACCTTTGTCTATTTCAATAGGAAATTCCATCCTCCCTCCTTTATAAATAACAGTAATCTACCTCATCTGCAGGGGATACATTCCAAGAACCCAGGTAGATGCCTGGAACTTCAAATGGTACCAAACCCTATAAATACTATGTTTTGTTCCTATACAGTGCATACATATCTATGATAAAGTTTAATTTATAATTTGGGCATAATAAGAGATTAACAATCATAACAAATTATAAAATAGAACAATTATAGCAATATGCCAGCATGACACTCTTGCACTTTGAGGTCATTATTAAGTAAAATAAGTACTTGAACACAAGTACTGTGACACCTTGTCAATCTGAAAACCAAGACAGCTACTAAGTGACTAAACAGGTGGGTAATATATAGTATATACAGCATGGATATGCTGGACAAAGAAATGAGTCTTGTCTCAGGATGGAGTGGGATGGTACAAGATTTCATCACACTACTCAGAACAGCAGGAAATTTAAGTATGAATTGTTTATTTCTGAAAATTTCCATTTAATATCTTCAGATGCAAGTAACACACTATGCAAAGTGAAAATGTGAATTGGGGGAAACTAATGTATTCAGAAACTAACTAACCACTCACCTTCTTCTACTCAAGTCAAAGAGAGAGAACCACTCTGTCTGGCACTACAGCAACAGTCTCCCAAGTGGATTTCAGGTTTCAACCTCTGCCTGCTACTGTCTACTTCCTACAAAGTAGCCAAAGTGATCTTTTAAAATATAAACTAAATCAAGTCCTTGAGAGGTCCAGCATGACCTGTCTACTCCAAACTCTAGCTACTGCCATATCTGTATATTATCCTCAACCACTGTCCCTTTTGTTCACTCCTCTGTATTCACACAGGTTTCCTTGAAGTTTTTCAAGCCCATACCTGCCTCAGGCCTTTGAACCTGCTATTTTGTCTACGTGAAAGGTAATTAATTTATCCAAAAAATCTACTCACATCCCTCATATAGCTTCTCAATGGCACTTTACCAAAGAGGCGTTCCCATTCCTAAAGAGCAGCTCCCAAACCTCCCTCACACACTATCCCATTATGCTGCTTTATTGATCTTCTCAACACTTTTCACTACATGACATGATGTTATCTATTTTGATTAATTTTATGCCTTTTCCTTTTAAAATATAATCTCTAAGAATTTTACTGTTGTTGTCAGGGCCAGTACATAACAGGCTACGAAAAAATATCTAAGGCAATGAAACAAGGAAAGATTCACATGTATGGAACACACTGGGGAAACTACTTTAAATACTTCTCCCTCTCCTTTTTTTTTTTTTTTTTTTGAGTTGGAGTCTCACTCTGTCGCCCAGACTGGAGTGCAGTGGCCCCTCCCGGCCACCGCAGCCTCGACCTGCTGGGCTCCGGCGATCCTTCCGCCTCAGCCTTACAAGTAGCCGAAATTACAGGCATGCACTACTATGCCCGGCTGATTTTTTTATTTATTGTAGAGATGAGGTCTCGCTGCCCAGGCAGGTCTCGAAACCACGGGCTCAGGCAATCCACTCACCTCAGCCTCCCAAAGGCGTGGGATTACAGGCTGAGCCACGGAGCCCGGCTCCCCTCTCCTTTCATTTCTCCTCCCCATTCCCTACTCCTCCACCTCCCTTTCTCCCTTCCATCTTCTTCTCTCCCTCTTCTCCTTCCTGCCCCTTCCTCCCTCCCCTTCTCTCCCACCCACTGGCTAAATAAATAAAGTTAACCTTGAATTTAGGAAAAGGAAAGCAAATCCTATTAACAAGATGATACTATGTTATAATTCAACTAGAATATCACTGACATAAATTTCCATCTTATCTGTCTGCTATGGTTCACTGGGACTTAATGCCATCAGACAATGATAAGAAAAGCTTTAAGGTATTAAGCCCAGCAGTATCATTTAAGAGAAACTAAAACAGTGGGCAAAATTAGCAGTGCTTCAAGAAACTAAAGCAAAGTAGCCATGAAGTTTAATGATCTGGTTTGGGCTAAAAATGAAGAATGAAAATTTTTAAAAAGTCAACTGGAAAAACAAAAGACTTTAACAGAGCTGAGGAGGTAGGGAAGTTTCATGGTAGCTCCACAGTGGCAAGGATAGACTCAAAGAGCTGCCATGGAAATGGGTAAAATATATGGTACAAACATGAAAGTGAGAAAATATTAAAGACATCCACCTGAGAGTCTCCACAGCGAACAAGAGCTTAAGTCATCAGAATGAAGAAAACTTTTAAAGGAGAGAAGAAGAGAACAAAAAAATGGAAATGAGAGCATTTGGAGGACCTCAGAAAGGGAAAAAAGAGAACCCAAGAAAGCAGAAACATGCACAGCAACAGACCGGGTTACCATGGTGGCACAGAGTCCAAGGTGGGAGTGGATGTTAGGAAGGAAAATCAACATTATCTAAAGAAGCAGGAAGGTGCAATACTTCAGAAAACTGCTGAGATCCAAGATCTCTCTTTGGAGAGAGGCATGAAAGGGGGAATTTCATAGCAACAACAGTAGAAGGAACAGGGAGTGATGCTCTGATGGGGGAAAAATAATCCTAAAAAAGAAGAAACCTTGAGAAAAAACAATTAAAACTCACATGAAATAAACAGTGATCAAATCCAAGAGGAGACGAAGTAGTTCATTTAACACCTATAAGAAGAGCTCTTTTATGAGGAGAGGGATGAGTAGAGGCTCTGTCCACACACCCTCAGACACCCTCAGCTGAAATGCCTCTGAACAACTAGCATGTGACTTACTTGGCCACCCTCCCTTCTTGTTGGTTCTTACCCACTCACCTGAGTTGACTTGACTGTGGATTTCATCTTCTACTGTCCATGGTTCTCCCTGTTCCAACTTGGAGAGTGCATCTGGCTTGCTGGCTTGATACCCTATTCATGGGAAATGAAAGAAGACTTAGGCTCATCAGATTGGGTTGAGATATGTCAAAATGGGAGAACATATTATTTTAGGCTCCTGGCCACCGCAGCCTCGACCTGCTGGGCTCCGGCGATCCTTCCACCTCAGCCTTCCAAGTAGCTGGAACTACAGGCTCGCGCTACCATGCCCAGCTAATTTTTGATTTATTGTAGAGATGAGGTCTGGCCAAGTTGCCCAGGCGGGTCTCGAACCCATGGGCTCAGGCAGTCCACTCACCTGAGCCTCCCAAAGTGCAGGATTACAGGCTGAGCCACCGAGCCCGGCTTATTATATCCTCTTATCTGGAATAAGAGAGGGGACTGAGAATCTACCACTTCAGAGCAACACTGGCTCTCCAGAGTTTTTAGAAGCTGAGGAAGGAAGGACTACTGATTGAGCACCCTCTGAATGACACAGGGCAGCAGGTATTCTTACCCACTGACACCAGGTTTTTGTAGTTCTCCAACATTACATCCCGGTACAGGTCCTTCTGAGCAGGGCCCAGGAGCTGCCACTCCTCCCAGGTAAATGGCACAGCCACATCCTCCAGTGTCAGTGATTCCTGTAAAAACAGATTTCCACTCAAAATGAAGTTTTTCCCTTTTACTGACTGGGAAAAAATATGAAGGATGTTGTTCTGCTCATTTTTACAATAATAGGCTGCACCTACATGTTATTTTTTAAAATTGTATTGTGATAGAAACAAAATAGATCTCGAAAATCTAACTATATTCAAAATTTATCCCTAGACAAATATTGTATAATTGTGTAGTTATTCATTATTTAACAAATCAGAAGTTTCTGTAATAATTAGTCATTTAATCCTCTTACTAATCTCTCTTTTTTTTAGTATATGTTTTCTAGGCACTAAATATGTTCTAGTGATATCAGAATGACTAAAATATATTCCTACGTTCACCGTGAATCTTTATAACCAATATCAGAGTCAACCATGAAGAAACTCCAGCCTGTCTCCCCCAACATGGCAGCTGCTGAAGACGAGTTACTGCTGCCACGGCTCCCGGAGCTGTTCAAAACTGGCAAACAGCTTCTGGAGGAAGTAGAAGTAACGGCTGAACCCACTGGTTCCCGGATAGTCCAGAAAAAGGTGTTCAAGGGACTAGACCTCCTTGAGAAGGCTGCCGAAATGTTATCACAGCTCAACTTGTTTAGTCGAAATGAAGATTTGGAAGAGATTGCTTCCATTGACTTGAAGTACCTGATGGTGCCAGCACTTCAAGGAGCCCTCACCATGAAACAAGTCAACCCCAGCAAGCGTCTAGATCATTTACAGGAGGCTCGAGAACATTTTATAAACTACTTAACTCAGTGTCATTATTATCATGTGGCAGAGTTTGAACTGCCCAAAACCAGGAACAACTCTGCTGAAAATAACACTGCTAGTTCTTCCATGGCCTATCCTAACCTCGTTTCTATGGCATCTCAAAGACAGGCTAAAATAGAGAGATACAAGCAGAAGAAGGATTTGGAGCATAGATTGTCTGCACTGAAATCTGCTGTGGAAAGTGGTCGAGCAAATGATGAGAATGTTCGTGAATATTATCTCCTTCACCTTCAGAGGTGGATTAGTATCAGCTTAGAAGAGATTGAGAGCATTGACCAGGAGATGAATATCCTAAGAGAAAAAAACTTTTCAAGGGAGGGATCAACTTCTTACTTATCTCATCAGGATAGGCCACCAATGAAACCCTTTATTCTCATGCGAGACAAGGCCCAAGCCAAAGTTTTTGGATCTGGTTATCCAAGTCTGGCATCTATGACAGTGAGTGACTGGTACGATCAGCATCGGAAATATGGAGCATTACCAGATCGGGGAATAGCCAAGGCAACAACAGAGGAGTTCAAAAGAGCAGCTCAGCAACAGGGAGATCAAGAACAAAAGGAGGAAGAGGACGATGAAAAAGCACTCCACAGAGTTCGGGAGTGGGATGATTGGAAGGACACCCATCCTCGGGGATATGGCAACCGACAGAACATGGGCTAACTTCCCACAACACACAGGATAATGGGGTGCATGTCTTGCCTGCTGAGGAAAACCACGCAGTCTTTCCCTCCCTGAACTGCTTCAGCTGTGTATGAGGCAGGCAAAGATACTAAATCTTGCTTTGCATTCAAAAAAGTGTCAAATGATTAAGTGTCTATTTGTACCCTAGATAATAAGCCAGTAATCTTGTTTTGGCATTATCATCCTCATCATGGTGTATTCTAATTTCTTAAGTGAAAATAAAAGAGCACTGAGAAATGGCTTTGTATAATCAATGGCTGTATGAATCCTCTTTAAAAAATAATAAAAGTTATTTCTATTATAAAAAAACTCTAGACACTATAAGATACTACATATTAAATGAGTATGTTTTATACATTAGGAAGAATAAAAGAATCTTTCAAAACATATCCAAAGAACAAGACACTATTAAGGATTATTTCTGAGCAGATTAGGAAAACACATAGTACTACTCAAAAGCCAAACACATGCATACGTGCATATAAAAGTAAGGTCTAGCATTTACCAATTTTGGTTATGAAAAACAAAATACAGTAATGGAAAGATGCTATCCAAAGATCTACGGATTAAGATCGATGTGTGTGTGTGTGTGTGTGTGTACCCCCCTCCATATGTGTAAGTGTGTGTGTGTATATGGGGGGGTGCCAAAAAAAGTATACATTTTAAGAAAGGAAAACAACTATTAAAATTGTAATACTCAGCCGGGCTCGGTGGCTCAGCCTGTAATCCCGCGCCTTTGGGAGGCTGAGGTGAGTGGATTGCCTGAGCCCACGGGTTCGAGACCCGCCTGGGCAGCG